GGCTTCGGCCCCGCCATCGGGGCCCCTGCCTCGATGCATGGGCGCCTCCCGGCGCCGGGAGGCGCCGGGAGAATCAGCTACCTAGGGAGCTGATTCTCGAGGCCCCCCTTGGCTGTCGCCCGGCCCGGCCATCGAGCTCATGACGGACCATGTGGAATTTCTGCACGCCGCTGCTCCTGGGCTCCTGGCGGCTGCGGCCCAGGGCTGCTGCGGCCTGGCCGCGGCCAGGGGCCCGCCGGAGCGCGGGCGGGCGGAGCGGGCTCTGCGCGCGGGCGCGGAGGCAGAGGCGGGCGGCTCCGAGGCCAGCCTGGCCGAGCTCGGGCACTCGTTCCTCTAGCCGGCCTCGGCGTGTCCGCCGCCGCGCGGCCTCTTGGGGGGGCGCCCGGCGGCGCGGCCGATCGAGCCTGCTTCGGGAGCCCTGCGGCGGTGGTCGATGCCAGCGGGGGTCAGCCAGGACGCCCGATCTTGCAGGATCCTGCAGGGCCAGGGTCGCACTGGCCCGGGCTCGGGTGCAGGATCCTGCAGGAGCTTGCAGGAGCCTTCGCGTGGGCCCGGGTCTGGGCGCAGGGTCTTGCAGGATTCTGCAGGGCCTGGCTGACCCGGGCCTGGATTGACCCGGGCCAGAAGATCCCCGAATGCTCCGAGGAGGAAAACGGTACCGATACCGCTGCCCTTCCCTCATTCTCCCCGTTTGGGGCCTCCTGGGAGGACTTCGTCGCCCCGGCGCGATTCGCCTCGAGATTCTGGTCAGCCAGAACGCGGGGAGGTCCGGGAAGCAGCGTTAAGTCGAGCTTGTCCCTCTACAGGAGGGATGCTCGAAAATAATCAAAAAATAGTCCGGGGATGATTTGTTGAGTCTGTTTTTGTTTGGTTGCAATTGTCGTTTTTTTTGTTTTTCTATGTTTGTTTTTCATCCAAAATCCCCCTGTAGGGGGACAGGCCCGACCTAGTAGTAGCGGTATTGGTACCTTTTTGGTTCCCCCACCTTTTCAGACTGGAGGCCCCCGGCGGCCTTTTGCGGGCCGTCGGCCGCCTGCAGATCTAGGCGTCGCAGAGTACAGGCGGCGTCACCCCGCTGCGCACAAGCCGCAAGCCGCGCCACGGCGTCCCAATGTTCAGTCGGGCCTGCCCCTCTACAGGGGCAATGTTCAAGAATAGTTTCACAAGTGTCTGGGGACTATGGTTGTAGTATGTTGGGGCATGTTTGGTGTAGGTGTTTTAGTTCTTTGATTGTTCGTCCAAAATCCTCCTGTAGGGGGACACGCCCGACCTAATCCAAATGTTTCGCGGTCGCGCCACCGGCAGTGGAATTTGTCGAACCCGTTCGCCACTCTTCATTATGCCAGGGCACCTCTGACGTGCATTACCTCTCTCTGTCTCTCACTCTCTCTCTCTCTCTGCACAAACGCCAGGCCGAGTTCGAAGTCATGCTCCGCCTCGAAGCTGCCTCTCTCTGGTCAGCTTCGGAACCTTTTGCGTGCCGCCCTACCGTCGCACCAGCGATCGGTGCCACCACAGGCTGCCGATGGAGTCGGCGCCTTCGGCACGCGGCGCCAGCTCTCGAAGATCAAAAAACCGAGACATAAACTTTTGGCGGTCCGCGCGGATTTCTTGGATCCGCGCTGGGCCCCCAAGAAATCCGCGCGGAGCGCCAAAAGTTTATGTTTATGTGTTTTTGTTATTCTTCTATGAGCTCACCTGCGGCAGGGCGACTCTTGAAGGCGGTCCGCGCAAGCTTCCTGGCCTGCCTCGCTCGGCGGCGCGCACGGGGGGGAGGCAGAGAGGGGGCGGGCTGCCTCGTCAGGCGGCGGGGCTTCTCTCAGAGACCCTCGCGCCTTCTGCGCCCGTGGCTTCGGAGGAGGCTCCAGGGGCTCCTCGGGAGGCGGGGGGCCGAGAAGCCCGCCACCTTCTGAGGAGGCGGGCCCCCTGTGCCAACCCCCTGAGCCCGCCGCCGACTCTGCGCCCATGCGAATCATTTTAATGCAGTGCTGAGGCTGCGAACACACGATAATGGTAGCACGCGGTGGTCTGGACGGCCCAGTCTTGGACGTCACAACCGAGCAAGATGACAAAGGCGTGGAACAGGTTGGGCTAGAAAAGAAAAGCAGGTTTGACATCCAGCAGTGCGGCAGCTCCATCGGACCTGGACGTCGCCAGAGATGGCGGTTGCGCGCTTGAGAGGGTGCCTTTTGACGACTCGGCTTCTCTCCTCCCCTCATCTTCTTCCCTTGTCTCTGTCCTACAGTCAAACCACTTGGTAAGGATGAGCAGCTTTCCAAGGCTGCCCTTGCATCCTTGCCCCTTCGGCCCTTCCTCAGCGACTCTCGCTGGCCAACCTCGCTCAAAAAACGCCAGCATGGCCCTTGGAGGCCCCTGTCTTGTACCCTTACCGCGCATCCTGATCATGCGGTCTGGGGCTGTAGTCACGCCCGTGTCTGCCCGTCTCATGCCTGCTCCCTCCCCTTTCCGGAGGGTGCCAAAGGGGTTTTTGAGGAGGGGGTTTTCCAGAGAGCCCCCCAGGGGCCTCGGAACCTAGTCAAAACAGGGGGCGCGAAGCCCCTGCAGGGGACCCCTCCTGGACCCCCCCCAAACAAAAACCCTTTGGAACCCTCCGGCCTCTCCCTGCCCTCCGGCCCTCTCGGCAGCACACACCGCCCCAGGGCGACCCGCGCACGCGGGGCCGCCGCTCGAGGGCGGCAGACATTGGCACGGACAGCAGCTGCTGCGGGCCCGGTGGCAGCGCCCGCTGGCGTCGAGCCATCTTCACCACGGAGCTCCGACGGCGTGGGCTTCCACTCCTGGGCGAAAGACATGTCCTTAGGTCGGGCCTGTCCCCCTACAGGGGGATGTTCGTCGAACAAAGACCCAAACTCAAACAAAGATTCCAGACATATCCGAACGCGGTCCCATGACTATTGTTGGGCCGTTTTCGGATGTTCCTCTTAGGGGGACAGGCCCGACTTCAACATACCCGTATCCACGGCCTCGCGGGCGGGGCCCCTGGGCCGCGACACGGCGCGGGCACGGGGCGTCTTCTCGCGCATGCTCCCGCGCAGGGGCGCACCCGTGCGACCGCGTATCCGCGGGATCGCGCCCCCTGGCGTCCAGGGCGTGGATACAGCTATGTTTGAGGCCTCCCGGAGTGGGTCAGAGTACAGATGGGGCCGGAGGATCGCGCCGCATCGGCGATGCATCGGCGATGCATCGGCGATGCGGCTCGCTGCGGAGCCCGATCCGTGCCACGCCGACGTCGCCGACACGCCGCCGATGCGTCGGTGGTGCATCGACGATGCGGCGTGATCCTCCGACCCCACCTGCTCTGACCCACTCTGGGAGGCCTCGCTACGTTCGCCGCCCGTCGCATCCCGGCACCTGGAATGACGGCCCTAGCGGAGAGAATCAGACAGCGCGTGGCGGCCACACGTTGCGCGAGGTCAGCCCGGAGGCTGCAAGTGGTCACGTTCTGCCTCGGGGCCTTCGAGGAAATATCTGAGCGACGCAAAGCAGCGGGGTCGTCTGCGCCGACGTTGCCGCGTAAGCTGCCCGCGCAAGGTTGCGCGTGAGCGCCCTCGTCTCCAATGCAGCGTGACGCGCTGGTGGCCCGCATAAGCCACCGCGCAACGTCTCTGTGCCATCGCGCGCAAGACCCGTCTTTGATCGTCGCTCCTCTGTGCCGTGTCAACGTCCTCCAGTTAGGCCGCCGCCGCCCGAGCGGCAGGTGCGCCCTCCCTGGCCAGGGGGCCCTCGCTGCGCGCCGCGGTGCTGCAGCGGGCGCCCCCCCGCGCTGGGACATCTCGGAGAGCCCGGCGGGTCGGCGGCGACGATGGGGGGGGGATGGCCCGAGGGGGCCACGCACGCACCCATCGGGGCTCCAGAGACGGGGGTCACTGCAGACGGGGGTCCGCCAGAGCGCCGGATCTTGCACGATCCTGCATGGCCAGGGGCGCGTTGACCCGGGCCCGGGTGCAGGATCCTGCAGGACCTTGCAATAGGGAGACGAACAATGACATAAGCATGAAAACTCGGAGGTCATTGCAGCTTTCTCGGATCGGCGTTGGACCGCCCTCTTTGGCGCGCGGAGCGCGCCAGGGGCGGCGCCAGAGGCGGCGCCAGGGGGGTCCAGCGCGGATCCGAGGACTCCGCGTGGACCTCCGAGTTTTTATGTCTATGTCATTCATCGTTCCCCTATGCAAACCCTGACTGACCCGGGTCTGGACTGACCCAGGTCCGTAGATCCCCGGATCCAGGGGCGCCGACAGTCCACGCTTTCAGCGAGGCTCCCCGACGAAGAAGTGCAGTGGCCACCCCTGGGTCATTCGCCCCTGTCGTCGCCGCCGGCCATCGCACCCGGGCGGAGCTCTCGCGAACCCCTCGGCGTATGTGTGTATCGAGGCCTCCCACATGGGGCCCGAGCACTCGGCATGGGACAATCATCGATGGGGAGATGATTGACCTCCCGACTGAGCTTGCCCGTCCCCCCTCTCTCCTCCTCCCACTCCCCCTCCTCTTCCCCCCCCCCTCCTCGACCCTTCCGACAGCACGCCGCCCCCCCCTGGGGATCTAAGGGTGGGCGATCACTGTCCCATCCTGAGTAGGCGAGTCGGAAGATCGCGCCGCATCGCCACTGCACCGGAGAGAGATACGGCTCGGTGTGGACCCTGATGTTCTCCACGCCGACGTCGCCGAGGCATCGGCCTTGCATCTGCGAAGCGGCGCGATTGTCCGACCCCATCCACTCGGACCCCATCCGAGCGACGCAAACAAACGGGGTCGTCTGCGCCGACATTGGCGCGTGAATTACCCGCGTAGGGTCGCGCGTCAAGCGCCCCGGGTCGCGCGCCAGCGCCCTCGCTCCAGTGCCGCGTGCCGCGCTTCGGCGGCCCGCGTACGCAGCCGCGCGAGGCCGCCGTGCCACCTCGCGCAAGACCCGTTTTTGTTTCCGTCGTCGCTCCTCTGTGGGAGGCCTCCAGCGTACGTTCAATAATCTGTCTGTCTCACTGGCTCTCTCCGCGGGGGCCAGAAGAGGCCGCTGCCCTCGGACCTGCCGCGGCCGCTCTGCCACGCCTCTCGCCTGCCGCATCGTGGCGGTCGGGGCCCGGCAGCTCCTCTCTTCTCTCGTGGCCCCTGTGCACCCACCTCCCGGCAGCCCCTTCCCGGAGGGGAGGCGTGGAGGGCAGGGTGTCCTGGGCGCGGCCAGGCGGAGGCTCGCGCCCGAGTCTTCACGGCGACCTGGGGCAATTTGCGTGTGTCTGTGTCTGTGCGTATGTGTATTGTGTGTATGTGTCTGAGTGTGTGTGTGTGTGTGTCTGAGTAAGTGTGTGTCTGTCTGTGTGGGCGCGTGGGCGCGTGTGTGTGTGTCTTTTGTGTGTGTGTGTTTGTGTCTGTATGTGTGTCTGTGTGTGTCTCTGTGTCTCTGTGTTTCTGTGTCTCTGTGCTTGCGTGTGTAAGTGTTTGTGTGTGTATGTGTGTATGTGCGTCTGTGGGTGTGTGTGTACGTGTACGTATGCGCGCGTGTGTGTGTGCGAATGTGTGTGTGAATGTGTCTGTGTGAATGTGTGTGTGTGAATGTGTGTGTGTGTGAATGTGAGTGTGGATGTGTGTGCGTGCGCGTGCGTGTGCGTGTGTGTGTAAGAATGCGTGGGTGTGTGAATGTGTGTGAATGTGTGAGTGTGTGAATGTGTGTGTGTGTGTGTCTGTGTGGGTGTGAATGTGGGTGTGTGTGTGTTGTGTGTGTGTTGTGTGTGTGTCTGTTGTGCGTGTGCTGTGTGTGTGTGCGTGTGCGTGTGCGTGTGCGCGTGCGCGTGCGCGTGCTCGTGCGCGCGTGCGTGCGTGCGTGCGTGCGTACGTGCGTGCGTGCGTGCGTGCGTGTGTGTGTGTGTTGGTGTGTGTTGGTGTGTGTTGGTGTGTGTGTGTTGGTGTGTGATGGTGCGTGTTGGTGTGTGTTGGTGTGTGTTGATGTGTGTGTGTGTGGTGTGTGGTGTGTGTGTGGGTTTGTGTCTGTGTCTGTGTGTCTGTGCGTCTGCGTGTCTGTGTGTCTGTGTGTCTGTGTGTCTGTGTGTTGTGTGTCTGTGTGTCGTGTGTCTTGTCGTGTGTCTGTGTTTCTGTGTGTCTGTGTGTCTGTGTGTCCGTGTTTCTGTGTGTCCGTGGTCTGTGTGTCTGTGTGTGTGGGTGTGCGGTGTGTGTGTGTGTGGGGGGGGGGGTGGGTGTGGGGGGGGGGGGGGGGGGGGGGGGTGGGGTGTGGGGGGGTGTGTGTGCGTGTTCGTGTGCGTGTGTGTGCGTGTGCGTGTGCGTGTGCGTGTGCGTGTGTAGCTGCTCCGTTCCCTGGGCGCGGCCGGATAAGAGGACCGATGCCAGGCGCACCCTCCGCCGCCGCCCCGCATGGCGCCGCGCGGCTTTTTGTTCGACGCGGCGCGCCCATGGGGAGAGAAGGCCGAGGGGGGCGGGCGCCCTCCCAGCAGGCGCGGGGCCCCGAGGCGCAAGCGTTGCCCTCTCAGGCACAGTCGGGCCCATCATCCTCCCTCTCCCTCCTCTTCCTCTTCCTCCTCCTCCTCCTGCTCCTGCTCCTCCTCCACCTGCTCCTGCTCCTGCTCCTCCTCCTCCTCCTCCTCCTCCTCCTCCTCCTCCTCCTCCTCCTTCTCCTCCTCCTCCTCCTCCTCCTCCCCCTCCTCCTCTTACTTATCCCTCTTCCCTCCTCCTCCTGTCTCCTCCTCCACCTCCTCCTCCTCCTCGTCCCCTTCCTCCTCCTCCTCCTCGTCCTCCTCCGCCTCCTCCTCCTTCCACCTCCTCCTCCTCATCCTCCTCCTCCTCCCTCCTCCTCTTAAGATGCTCAAGAAGTTTCTTCGGGAAGGGGTCCTTCGGCATCTGCAGCGGCAGTCTGGGACTTCTCTGGGGCTCGGGGCTCGGGCAGGCTATGACATCGTGCTGAAAGAACTGAGGTCCCGTAGGTGGGGGCCTTTCGAGAAAGGTTGCATCAGGTCGTTTGTTTGCGGAGCGTGTTGGATAGGTACCAGAGCGGTCGAATGTGGCTACCTCCTGGACTCGTCGCTGTGCAGCAAGTGCGGTGCTGCCCCGGACACCATGTTTCACCGATTATGGCAATTCCAGGCCGTCAGTGCGCAGCGCTCGGAGATTGTGGATCAGTCCCTGATCGATCAGGCCCTGGCCCTTGGCCCAGAAGATTTCGATTGGTTGCTGGCCACCAAGGCCATACTCCCACACCCAGGGGACTACGTCCCCGTGCCCGTGGAGGAGGGAGGCATGCAGGTGGTTTGGGAGGGTGATCCCGACAACGTCTCCACGGATGTCGAAGGCCACGTCTTCTTCGACGGCTCCGGGCTGAAAGGCCACGTCTTCTCGAGTTGGCTGGGGGGCTTCTGTATATAACGAGGCCGGGGAGCTCAAGTGCACCCTCTGTGGACCCGTTCCTCGCTTCCTCCCGCAGACTTCCCAGGCCGGTGAATTCTGGGGCCTCGGCGCCACCAATGAGCTCCTGAGCGGGCCCTCGACGGGATATTCGGACTGCGCCAATGTGGTCCAGGCTTTTAAGGCTCCTGTACCCCATCAGGTTTCATATAATAGGCTCTATGCCGGTGCGCTTTTCAATATGTCTCAGACTTGTATCGAGATGTAATTCAACTGAAAGCGCACGTGTCTGACACGGGCGACCTCTCGCCAGAGCAACTGTTTTATAAGACTGGGAACGACGCTGCCGATGCCGCGGCGAAGCGCGGTGCCCGGTCCCACCCGATGCCCTCTGCAGCTGAACTGGTCGAGATTGACCGCCGTGTGTTCATCGCTCGCAAGGTGTGCGCCATGGCGGCTCAACTTCTTCCTCTTTGGCCCCGCCTAAGCCTCGACGGGGTGCCGAGAGCCCCAGGCGAGAGCCGCCAGCCAGCAGATGTGCCTGTGCAGTTGCATGAATGGCCATGGTACCGCTCCTTTTGGAGATGCCAGCGCTGTCTGAAATTCCGCCGTTCGGATCATAAGCCTCCGAGTGCCGGATGTTATTGTGCCCTGCCCGAGGCCGCCCTCGAGATCGGGCGAATGCAGCACCAATTGAAAGTTTTTGATTGCAGCGACGGCATTTTGTGATATGCCTGTGAGAAGTGCAAGGCATATTCCACTGGCGGTCAGTTCAGAAACCTTCGTAAGTGTTTGGACAGGCCTGCCAGCAATTTCGCGATCTCGACCTGTCCCCGTCCCCTCAAGGGAAGGCACCCCAAGTTTCCCCAGGTCCAGATCGAGCCTTTTTCTGTCGGCGTGGGTTGGCAGGAGCATCGCTGATGGAAAAAAACTCCTCTCTCCTCCTCCTCCTCCTCCTCCTCCTCCTCCTCCTCCTCATCCTCATCCTCATCCTCATCCTCATCCTCATTCTCCTCCTCCCTCCTC